ACCTGGGGTGTCACAGGAAAAAGTGTGTCTGATGCATCCTGATAGTGATGTTGCCGTGTGACCCTTGGAGCATGTGGTTTGTGTAAGATGCCAGATACTACACTTGATCTTAGCCAAAAGGCCAAGAAGCGACGTGGAAGGTGCCAAGAGGGATGAGTCGTGATGGTTCACGGTTTCTTTTAGGTTGGCAAATCGGCTCAAGATGGCTGTGCTCTGTCCCATGCCGGGCACTGTGGTACTGACACACACTACACTTTTTTATTTACAGAAGTCCAGATAATAAATGATTCTGCAAATACAGATTGTCCCAGATAGGCAATATACAGGAGGTAGATGAGTGGTTGCCCAAGTGTGGAATAGGGGAAGTTTGAGAAAACGGGATTTCATTTTTGGTGATAAGAATATTTTTAAATTGGCTGTGGAGCCAGGCATGGTGGCACAGGCCTGTAATCCAGCACTCTGGAGGCTGAGGCAGGAGGGTATCTCTGAGTTCAAGGCCAGCAAACCAAACCAAACCAAAATAAAACAAAAAGTTTATAATATTGGCTGTGGTAGTGGTTGCACAGGTCGGTGAGTAAACTAAGTGACATTGATTTGCACACTTTAAATGAGTGAATTGTATGTCATGTGAATTAAACCTCAGTAAGGCTGTTTTTATTTTTTATTTTTTTATTTTTTTTTTTTTTGGTTTTCCTCCGGTACCGGGAACCGAACTCACGACCTTGCGCTCGCCAGGCAGGCACTTTGCCGCTGAGCTAAATCCCCAGCCCCAGGCTGTTTTTAAAAAGGGTTTAGAATGAGCTCTACGTATATAGTGGCATCAAAGAAGCAGCTCAGGGCTGACCTCAGGGCGGCAGAGGTGATTCTGGACCTCTCTGTGGGGTAGAAGAGTGAAATTTTACAAGCATCTTTATAGAAGCCCAACTTTTCAATGTCTGTAGCTCTGTGGTTTTCTTGAATGTGCTCAGTGTTGGGGTTGGTGGGTGTGACTATGGGATGGGATAGACGTGAGGGTTGTGGTCTTGAGTATCACTCGACTGACTTGATCCTATCCATGTGGTTCACGGTGTTTGGGGCTTGCTGGATTCTGCTGGGGCTGGCTCCTGTGGACCTGGGGACACAGGCGTGAAGGAGCGTCTGGCCTCGAGGGCTGTCTATCCCTAGTCTGGTTCTCGGCACCCTGCGGCATCAGTGTCCAGTAATCCCATGCGGGGAGCTTCTTGTGCAGCGGGTGAACGGGGACATGGGGACACCCCTGCTGGACCCCCTGGGCGGGAATTGCACAGGGGTACCTGCGCTCATCCCAGGCCCTCGGGTCGCCCCCGAGAGCTGAGATGGAAGCAGGGGGCGAGGACGTGCAATGAGCCGTGCCTGTGGTGAACCCGGGGACAGCACTGGACGCCCCAGATCGGTACCGGCCATGTGCAGGGCTGAAGCAGGGCTGTGACCCAGGTGAGCAGACACTCATCTGCAGCGCTGGGTAGAAAGGTGGAGGTGACAGGTCTCGGTGACCAGCAGGGCAGAGTGGGAGGGAGCTGTGAGTGCCCACGGCGAAACCCACCCTTGCCTCGGAGTCTCGTTTTGCCAGTCGTAAGCCCCGTAGCAGCGCGCATTACTGTGTGAACGTGTGCACTTGTACATGTGCTGCCTGTGTGTACGTGTTTGTACGTGCATTGCACATACACGTGTGTGCATGTGCAATATAAGTGCAGTGTCCACTGTGCATGTGTGTGTATGTGTGTCTATGTAAGTTGCTGTGTGTGCATAGAGGTGGGTGTGTGTGTTGTATGTGTATATGTGTGTTTGTGTGCATGCGTGTGGTCCAGCAGAGACCTTCTGCCTTTGATTTCAAGTTGTGATAGGGGACTGTAACATGCGACCCCTTCGAAACTTGTCCTCCTTTCGGTCCCCTCTCTTTGCCTCCCTCTTTTCCGCTTGCTACAAATGCTTCCTGACTCCCAGTTCTGTGTCAGGCCTGTGCGTGGAAGGCTCGGGTGAGTGAGGCCCCATCCAGGTACAGTGGAGAGGGGAGCTCTGCACGGTCCCCACGCCCAACTAGAGTCGTGCCCCTGTCCCAGGGAGGGAGGCCGGGACACAGAGCAGGAGGTTCCTGGCTGGGCCGGAGGTGTGGCTGCCTCACAGCCCAGGGGACACTTGAGTGTTGACCTTGGCAGGTTTCTGAGGTGCAGGTTCCTGCAGGCAGAGGGGAGAGCGGCTGCAGGGACCTGGGACCCTGCAGGGGTCGCTGACAGGGCTGGGCTTCAAGTCAGGCCATAGCGTACCACTGTGTGTTCTTACCCCCGTGCCACGAAACGGTGCTCTGAGAGGTGGGGGTGTGGGCTGCTGAAGGTTGCAAGTCACTTCGGACTTTGCAGCTTGAAAAATGATGGGGTTTCTTACAAAAGCCTTCAGATTTTGCCTGACTGCTTGCCTGGACCTCGGGGTCTCCCTCCTCCCACCGGGCTGTGTTAGACCAGGGCCAGGGGGACCTTCCCAGATTATGGGGTCTGCTGCAAGCCAAGGACCTGGGAGCTGGGAGCTGGGAGCCAGCTGAGGGCCACTGCCACCCTGCAGCTTCTGGTCCAGGACCGCAGCTGACCCATGCAGAGCCTGAGGTTGGGAACAGAGCTCCAGGGTGTGGCTGCACCTTGCTTGGGAGCTTGGACCTGATGGACGGGGCAGCTGTCAGGTCCATGTGGGACCCTTAGGGCTTCGTTCCAGCCTTGCCCCAACTGGCCCTTTCACCCCAGCAGCCTCAGCTGCTGCCCCAGTTCCAGGAGTCACTGCGGTCATTAAAATTCACCAGATGCCATAGAATAATGTTTATCATTATGATTATCGTCCTTCTTATTAATAGCTACGGTGTAGCAGGGCCTGCCAGAGTAGTGCTCTGTCCTGGGAGTGTGGTTCTCTGGTCTCACGGCCCAGCAGTCTTGATGAGAAGGCTCAGTGAGCTCCACTTTCCAGATGGGAATGAGGCTCAGAAGTGAAAGAATCTGCCCTGAGCTTGCATGGCAGAAACCAGGCATGTAAACAAGAATGGTGGGTCTGTGGCCTCAGGATGGCCCGGTGCTTTGCATTGCTTTTGTAGCAGGCTTTTCAGGATTTCATAACTGGACCTTCCCTGGGGCCACTGGAGAGTATAGCAGAGCAGGAACCCCTGGCAGAGACATTTCCTCCCTTCCCAGTTCAGTAAATTTCACACACACATATCTGGAAGTTCTGGGTGGAGGTCATTCAGTCATTCAGCAAACCTTTAATTTCATGCTTGCTGGGTGCCAGGCACTGCTTTAGACATCACATGGAGGGTACATCAGGAAGCAGAGCATACAGGGCCTCCATACTGTAGGAATCGCTTGTCTCTTGTTCTCAGTGTCCAGCCTCAAGCCATGGGCACTGGGGACGGAGGGATAATGTTTGTTGAGTGACGCTTAGCAGAGGGATATATCTGGTGCGTTTTCTCTTGTGTTTACAGATTCACAACCTCCTTCCTGCATGCCAGGTCTCCCAGAACTACTGACCAGGCAGTTCTCTTTCTGACCCTGTAGACCACTTCATCTGTGTGAATCTGAGCCATCCGGAGAAGCTGCTTGGGCTCCGCCTGGATGCTAATTAGCCCCTGCCTCCCAAGGGCTCGGTGTAGAGGCGGAGGGGGGGAGGCTGGGGGTTGGCGGTCGTGACTCCCCTCCCCTGGGCAGCATCACTGTAACCCCATCATGCTCAGGGGAAACCAAGGCCGGGACAGGGTAGGCTGCATAAGGACCGGGGGTGGAGCTGGGATTCCAAGAGCGTCCACCCGACTCCAGGCTCACGCTCATTCACTGAGCTTCTTTGCACCCAGGCCGAGGCTGGGGATCTGCGGCTCAAGGTCACAGGGCAGACGTGAGCTGTTGCTGGGCCGCCCTTCCTGAGCCTCCGCTGCGGGACGTCCAGTGCATGTGGGGAACGGCCTTGCTTGTTCCCCCGCAGTGCAGGAGGATGGGAGCCCAAGCCCAGGGAGCTATGGAGTTGCGTTAGCAGCCGGTGTCCACACTCTGGCAAAGTGGGAAAGAAAATTCCCCCAGGGAGCAAGCCCAGCGCCAGGCAGCATCCAGGACTGGCCCATTCCGGGGATGTAGGCAGCCTGCTAGGGTGAGGGCTGCGCCTTAGACTTGCAAAGCTCCCAGCTCCAAGGCCAGCACAAAGGGGCCGAGGCCAGGGCGGAGGCCTGGGGAGGGACTGCAGCGGGTCAGCAGATTCGGCCCGCTCTGTGGGGCAGCGGGAGAAATGTATCACAGGGAACTGCAGCACAGGCACATTTAATCTATGCTAATTTAACCCTATTAGGCAGAGCAGAGCAAAGCGGGGGCAGGGAGGGAGAACAACTGGATTAGCAGACCCATTTGCCTTCCTTCTGCCTTAGTACGTGAGCGAGGGCTGGGAAGGGGCAGGGTCCAGGGGAAACGGAGGCCCCTTGCAGCTGTGCTTTGTGAGATCCACACGCGGTGTACAAGGGTTGTGGGCCTGAGGACGGCTTTGACTGACCTGGGAGATGGATGTGCGAATAAATGCGTGCAAGAAAGCATGGAGGAGGGGCTAAAGCAGCGGCATGTCTGAGGGGCTTGGATTTGGAAGAGATTAAAGGAGGTATGGGTTCCTAAACTTGGCTTGTTCATGGGTGAGTAGGAGTTCACCAGGTGGACCAGGCGTGTGGAGGGGAGAACAGATGAACAAAAATCTGGAGAGGTAGACAGTGTAGTTGGAGTCAGACAGAGGGCTGGGCTGAAGAAGGTAGCGGTGGCTGAACCCTTGCAGGGCCCGTCTGCTGCTTCCTGTGGCAGTGGGAGGCGCTCAAGTGTTTCAGGGAGGCGGTGGGGAGAGGCTGGGAAGGGAGGGGTGAAGACACAGGAGGGCGGGCTGACCTCGTGCGGGGGTGGGGGTGGGGGCGGGACAGGAACGGTGGGTTAGGGAGGAGGTTCACGCGGGGCTGCCGGGAGAACTGGCGCTTGCGCTGCAGGTGGCACAAATAAGCCTCTGGCAGAGATGGAGAGAGGAGGTTCAGGCAGAAGCGACCCCGTGAGAAGGGCGGGAGTGGGCTGCCTAGACTTGGGGGGCAGTGTGGGTGGAGCCAGTGGAAGGTGAAGAATCCAGATTATGTGGAGCCTTCCTGCTGGGTACAAATCTGGAACCCACGCGGAAGGTGAAGGGCGTCGCTGGCAGGTTGGCAGTAGGCAGTGACCTTGTCAGAGGGCTCCGCAGAAGATGCGTCCTGGGGCACAGTTGGGGTGGCAGCTGGGGTGTGGGGCAAGCCGTGGAGAGGCCCTCCCAGTGACCAGGCACAGATGCCAGGGGGTTGGGCTGGGGTGGTGCCCTGGAAGGGGATGACGCGGGGGAGAGGAATGAGGATTCTCAAATGGGATGGTGCTTGGTGGGGCCGGGCCGGGTGAGACCGGAGTTTGGTTTGGGTGTGGACAGTGGGAGGGGCCTGGGGGACATGAGGTGCAGAGGTGGGGGTGAGGGGCACAAGGGGGCTGCTGCGACAGAGCAGTAGCTGAACTTGTAATGGCAGCTGGCACCCCTGCGCACCCCAGGCAAGCCCAGGGTCCAGGCACGGAGGTGACCACATCAAGCTACGGTTGCCCAGGAGGCACGAGGCGCCAGGAGCTGGGGGACAGCCTGTGCCCATGATTCCCCACCCACTTGTCACCCCCACCCAGGTGCTTGGAATGGGTTCATCACAATGCCCGTGTGTTCCATTACTCATACTCGTCCTGGTCCATACCTGGCCTTCTTTACCTTCTTCGTTATAACATGATACAAGGGGTTACCGAAATGCATGCTCCCCACCCAGCCTGGGATGTACATCACAAATACAGTGCCCCTTGCTGCGCGCCCCTCCCGAGCCTGCCCTGTCCCCTCACCCCGGGTGACCACTGTACTGGATCCTATGTTGTTTAACCTCCTAGTTTTGGTGTTTGTTTGTTTGCCTTATCCCATGATACATTGCAAAATTTATTCTTTTAGTATTGCCTGTGGTTTTTAGACTTCTAATTAAGATCTTGCTTATGTATAACAAAGGACACGTGTCTCAGCTGCACCCTTGTGCGTTTTTAAATGCAGTTGTGTATGAGGATGGACGTAAGTATCCACGTCTGAGATGAAGATGGGAAGATCTCTGTCCCAGGACACGCCTCATGCTGCCTCCCAGTCTGCAGTGCTTGCAGCTTCTAACCCAGCCCGCTCTCTAGACTCTGTTTTGTGCCATTTCTAACGGAGTCAGGCAGCATACTGTCCCTGTGTCTGGCTTCTTCCCTCAGCCCTGTCTCAGGTGTGCTTGTCTGTGTGCAGTTGCAGCTAAGAAACTTCACTCGTGTTTAGCATTCTGCATCTTCTGAGGGGCTCATGCATGCCTGCTGTGTCAGCTTTGCTCTGTAGGAATAGGAACTTGAGATAATAGGCATCTAAAGTGCAAAGGGTTATTTTGGCCCATGGTTTTAGAGGGTTCAGTCCATGGTTGGTTGTTCCTGTTGCTTTGGGGCTAGGGTACTAGAACAAAGCCATGCAGCTCATGGTGAGCCAGGCAGTGAAGAGGAGGGAGGAAGGGACTGGATCCTCCTGTCCCTTTCAAAGGAATTGTCCCCATACCACCACCACCACCACCACCACAACCAGCCCCTGCCACTGTCTATATCTCTTAAAGGTTCCATTGCCTCCCTAGCACCAAGCTAGGGGCCAAGCCTTTTTTTTTTTTTTTGTCTTTAAGGTACTGGAGAATGAGCTCAGGGCCTTTGCACTAAGCTACATCCCAGTCTTTAAAATTGTTTTATTTTGAGATAGTTTCTTATTGAATTGCACCAAGTGGGCCTGAACTTTAGCTCCTCCTGCCTCAGCCTCCCAGAGTACTGGGATTGCCAGCGTGTACCGCCAGGCCTGGGCAGGGACCAAGCCTTTAACGTATGAGCCCGGGGGACCATTCTAGCTCCAAATAGTAGCATATGGGTCTGTTCCTAGATGCGGAACAGCCAAGCGGGTACACATGTTCAGCTTTCCTGGGAACTGTTTTCCATGTAGCGTTTTGTATTTCCACAAGAGTGAAAACTTCTAGTTACTTCCTTGAAAAATCAGTCTCAGCAACATGGTGTGTCCTTAATTAATTTCAGTCTCTGATGGAGCTGTCATGATAGCTCGTGTGATTTTTATTTGCATTTTCCTAATGCCTGAGGTGTGAATCGCCTTATGCCAGCCCCTCCAGCCTTGAGACGCTGTTTCTTTTGTGAAACAGCTACGTACATTTTTAGTTATTTTTTTAATTGGACGATCTTTTTTATTTTTGATCTGTACAGGGTTTTTAAAAATAAGTATTACAGATGTGAGTCTTTTGTGAGATTTGTGTGCTGTGAATATCTTCTCTCACACTGTAGTTTGTGTTTTCACACTGTTGGTAGCGTTTGGGGGAACAGAAGTCTCGATTCCCCTGTAATCTGGTGTGTGTTGTTATACAGTGTTTGTCAACACACCTTCTTTATTGACAACACATTGCAAGTGTGTGGTGGACTGACAGCTGGTGGTCACCTTATAACCCCCAGCTGAACTGAGGAAGCGTGGTGCTGGGTGTGGGAGGCCCCCCTGAGGACTGTTGCCAGCAGCATAAGAGGCAGAACTGGAGAAGAAGAGAGAAGGCTGTTGGGAGCTGGTAGAAGCCGTTGGAAGCCTGTTGAGAGCTGGTAGGAGCTGTTGGTTCTTTTGGAGGAGCTCATCATGCTGGCTTTCCTGATGAACTTGGCTGTTCCATCATCCCAGAAGCTTGGGACTTTGTTGTCGCTGAGAATGGCTTTGGTTCACTTTGGGGGAGCTCTGGTCCTCCTTCTGAGCATCACTTCCTGGCTCCGGCAGGGAAGATGGTGCACTGCTCATTTTCCTGGACAAGTTTGTCACGTTGGCTTTCCTGATGGGAACTTAGCTGTCCTGATCATCAGAGGAGCTGGGGACCTCACTGTTCCTGAGGATGGCTGTGGTACCTTTCGGGGGAGCTCTGGTTCTTACTTTGCACATCGCTTCCTGGCTCCAGTGCAGACCCCTCAGCCTGCTAGCACAGAGCCTTCATCCCACTGGCGCAGACTTACTAGCTGCCACCGCTGACCTTTGGGCCTTCCCAGCGCAAATCCATGAAACAGGCCTGCATGAGATATTGTTATGGGCTCTAGGCCTCCAGTTGGACTCATAGGAGGCATTGTTATAGGCTCTAGGTCTTCAGCTGGACTCATGCAGGACATTATCGTGGGATCCAGGCTCTCAGCTGTATTCTTTGGTCTCTAGTGTGTGGACAGATTTCCTGCACTCTTATATATGATTCTTTGGGTAACTATTATAGATAATCTTATAAAATATGTGTCCTTGTATTATATTGTTCCCCCTGCAATAAGCCCCAAACCACGACAGGGTGTCTTCTCCCAGTGGGCCATTTGCCTTTTCCCTGTCTTGAAGGTTTCTGATGAAACCACTGATAGACAGATATTGAGTCATGTGCCAGGCACTGTGCGAGACATGGGAGGTGTGTGGCCCTGAGACCTCGTCCTGCTATGAAGACAGGGCAGCCTAGTAGAAAGCAGGGGCAATACAAGAGACATCTCCAGTGACAAGGGCCTGAATGGGGGAACCCTCAGGACTGTGGCACATAGAAGAGGACCCCTGGACCCCAGAGCCAGTTTGTGGGGAATATAGATAGAGTCTCACTCAACTGAACCTGAGAGAAGGAGGTCAGGCAAGTGAAGAGGGGAGTGAGAGAAGAGAGAGCCCAGGTCCACGCCTGCCGCATCAGAGGAATGGGTCCTCCCGCTCCAGCCCGTGGGAGGTGGATGTCTGCGACACAGAAGGGGAGAGAGACAGAGGAAGAAGGTGGAAACAGAGAACCCAACACAGAATCTTGTATGTGGGACAGTGTTCTTGTTAGAAGATGCATATGCACTCTTTGGGGGTAAAACAGCCTGATTCTGGCAAATTTTATTTTAGCAAAAAAAAAAAAAAAAAAAAAAAAAAAAAAAAAAAAAAAGGTACATAAATATTTAACTGAGTATTCTTAGAGTAAAACACAAAATTATCAGGGCGCTGTGTGTTCTTTTGTTCTGTTGTTTGTTTTGAGACAGGGTCTCACTATGCAATCCAGCCTGGCCTTGAACTCAGTATGTAGCTTAGGCTGACCTCCTCCAACTCTGGGGATCTTCCTGCCTCAGCCTCCCAAGTGCTGGAATCACAACTGTGTGCCATGACACTCAGTTTGAAACTGCTGTATTTATAAGCCAAAAATTGTTGTCTGTTGGTGATATATAGCTCAACTTAATCACTTAACAATTTACCCGAGTGTTACTCAGACCGTGATTTGTTTATGTACTGACTATCCTAAGCATTGCTTAGGCAGGTGTCATGTCAACCAGTTGATTCTGGTTTGCATGAGATACACTTATACTTGTCATTTTTATACTTCCTGTTATATGATCTTAAAAAATTAATGAAAAATATGCAATTTTTTGTCATCCTGCATTCAAAGAATTGGGCTGGTAAGTGGTTAAAGCTATTTTTCAAGGTCTCTCTTTGAAAATTTTTATAATACAATTAAAAAAAATCCCACCTTGGAAGAAAGCCTCTCAGAACATAAGAGTGTCCCCTCAAAGCTGCTACACGCTCTAAGGCAACTTAATAAAAACTCCAACTACAGAGCTCAGAAATTAGAAGATTTTTAAAATATCAGGATGAGATGAAAAGGAAGGTTGAAGACTGAAAGAAAAAATTGAAGATCAAAGCAGTATTATTAAAGAACAAATAAATAAATTAGTAAGAGAGAGGAATCATATATATATATATATATACATATACATATATATATATACATATATATATATATTCTTAAAAGCAGAAAAAGAGGCCAAAAAAAAAAAGACAAGTTTGAAAAGGGGCTGAGTGGGGAAAGTAATTAGAAGGAGACCCGCTGCTCTAGAAGAAAGCACAGCTGACCCTCTACGAGTGACTGGTGTCCCCAGAGAAGAGGGCTGACGAGGGGAGAGGAAGTGGAAGTGGGTCTG